AACATATTATTCGTCTATAAATTTGACAAATTTTAAACCATACATAAAGAACCACTGTATGGCAATATCATGTTATCACGACCTATAAAGATTAAATCCAGCGTAATAGGATTTATCTTTATTGTCTTTAATGCAACTTTCATCACCAAGACATTTGACACTCACAAGTGTTTGATTGCATTGCTGATATAGACCCCCACACTCGCAAGTGTTTATAGGGAGGTCGCTTTCTTTTAAGGTACCACAGTTTAATAAGGTATTTGCTTAACACGAAAGCTTCCCCCCACATTTGGTAGATAATACTCAAATTAGACAATCGCATTTATCATTTCATCAATGTGTGACATTTCAGTCCATAACCCGATTGAATTCATGTAAGTACAAGGTACTCACTTCATAGACAATTCTATGATGTGCAAAACAGTCACCTATTGGAGTCTCGCTCGCCATAGGTACCACTTTTTCCAATGTCTATTATGGTTTTATGTATTTGGTTCTCGAACTTAGTCTCCTAGAGAACAAGTTCTTTTTATGGGCTATACTTTCACAAAGAACAAATCTCTAAGAAGACATTTTCTAAGAGATAGAACTGAACAGGAAATATCATTTCCATCCTTTTCTATGCATAGACTTTTTCACAAAATGGAAGGACAGAAGAATCAATATCCTCTAGCACGAAATAGAGAATCATTGTTCTTTTCAAATTCTTTCTTAACATATGAAGAATTTCCAATAATTAGTCATGAATGAAATTATACGTAACAAGTGTATATCTTTAAAACCATAATTTTGGTAGTTATATGCTCTGGCCCGTATGACCATATCCATATACGCGTTCCTAGTTTAATATTTTGCGAGTTATCACAATACTAGGGTTATATTTATTTCACATAAACTCCCATTCAATCATGTATCATAGAAACTCAACAAAAGGTTATGATGCATAGGAAGTTGTAGTTTCTACTTTCACAACTTGAATGGCTTCTTATGATGGCCACTTTAAAGTGAATTTTAATCCGTCAATTGCACCAACTAAAACGAGTGAATGAAAATAATCTTTCATACATGAAACATTCATGTGCACAAATTAAAACAATGAGCTTAAAGAGGCCATAGTCAACAAAATTAATGAATATTAATGTCACTTAATTAGTTTCATCAAGTTTTCCAAAAATTCATACTGTTTTGCAACTGCAAAATAATAGCCATCACAATTAATTATCATCAACTTCATCCAATAACTTACAATTGAAGTAATAAAATGTTCTAATTATATTACTTCACAAATAGCAACATATGCATTTTATTTATTTTTTTCTGCGCTTCCATTTCATATGAATTCCAGAAAAAGCTTGAAAAAATGAAAACCCAATTTATAACAATATTTCTGTTCCCATTCATCAATCATCATTAATCAGATAATATTGATTTAGTGACCCCACATACCTTTATATTCCTTTGACTATTACATTTGAAACTCATTCTAGAATTTTCAAATCAAGAAGGGCGAACTACGTTTTATCTCCCGAGCCCCTTAACAAAACAAACCCCGAATTTTGGCAATACTACCATTACCCCCTTTGACGAGGTTAAACATAAAGTCAATGCCGGTAAAATTTGAAATTTGACTTTATTTGGCCAACCTTCCATTTTGCATTTTGTCTCATTTTACCTCTTAAACACAAAACCCAATGGAAAAAAAACATCATCCAAACAACGGTCTGATTTACATTTTAAATTCCAACTTGAAACACTTTTTGTTAGTGTAATGACCATTTTAGAACTACAAATAGTTTAGTGACAAATTTGGCAGGATTCCGTTGTTGAATGATTATTTTTGAAAAAGTTCTTTTTTGCAGTGACTATAGCTGATAGTATTTAATTGTTTAGTGATGACTCGTACTTGATATTTTCAAAATGTAGTTCAAAATATTTTTTTCAAAACCAACATTCAAATAACTTTTTGCTCAAAATACCATCCAAACAACATTTTCATTTCCCATTTAATTTTCAATTTGAAACACTTTCCACTTTTAAGTGGCAAAATAAAATGTAAATTGACGTCCAAACAAGCACTAAAAAACCACACCAACTTCCGGCCAGAGAACTGAAAATAAAAAGGGGGAAATAACCCCATCTTCTCTTAACCTGAAATCAAATACTCTAATAATCGTAATTGGGTTCTTCTTCTTCCTCCCTTCTGGGCTCTCCACGAGCCATCATCATCATTTTCACCTTCCAAAATTTTCTTTCTCTTCATCCTTTTTTCTTCCAAAGTTTACACTATCAAATTATTTTCATTGCTATGCCCCAATCGATGGTGACGAAGTATTTGTTTTTGTTCGAACTATCACAAATTTAAGAGGCAATTTGATGTGGGTCTTGATGGATCTCTAATTTTAGTTCTTTTATCTATCTTTTGGTATTGGTTTTAAAGTGGGGTTTATGTGGCTGTTTGCTTAATCTTGGTATAATTGATTTTGATTATGAGTTGAGAATTAGATTTGTAGAATTTACAATAAATTTTTTATTGTTTGTTAATGGGTATGAATTGATTGTCAACGGGGTCGAATAAAGCCCACAAATTTGAGCTCAATTCTGGGATAATCATTACTCTCCCATGCCCGGCCGCCGGCTATAGCTGAAGGCGGATGAATTTTTTTTCTTGTCATTTAATCTGCAGAAGGCAATTAGGTATAAATTCCAAAAGCAACAGTAGCTGTAAATTTTCAAAAAATAATAGCTTCTAAATTAAATTTTAGGAATTATTAGTCGACCAAAACTTAGGCTACAAAGTGGTTGGTTTTCAATTTCTCATGTAAGACAAATTTGTAGATCTCACGGCAAAACCAAATTTCCTACAATCAGCATAGATCTAACGACCATATAATTTAAAGGTATCATACACATACCTTTTGCAGAGAAACCAAATTTGTTTCTATTTGACTTACACCGATTAATGTCAAGAAGCGGAGGGAGAAAATTGAAATGGAAGATAGCTGGCTTTTGGTGTCTTTTTTTTTTTTTTAAGTAAAAGTGAGAAGATGTCCAACCTTAAATTCCAGCTATCCAAGGTAGTAATTTGGTCCTGTGATGAATTTTAGTACAAACACATTATATATTTCAATATACATATTCCAATCTTGTCTAATTTCGGTAGCTCCCCCACTTTGCCTACGCTTTTGGTAATTTCTCAGGATTCAAGGATGCTTCTGTCATATTGTGGTTGTTCTTTCTTGGGTAAATTTTCATTGTTGGTTTTTTTTTATCATCTTTGATATCAACAGTTGTCAAAAACATTTTAGTAGTAATACAATGACGTTTAATCAGAACAATGCAGTGATCGTTGAGAATGGGTCTGCCTGGCTCAAAGTACTCAAACATTCAATGTAGTTATTCCAAAAAAAAAAAAAACAGAAGAAAACAAAAATCAACATTGGAGCTAATAATATTGCTCTGTTTGTGGAAAGTACGGGGATTAAGCTTGCTAATACTCCTTATCATTTTGTGTAAGCTTTGTGGTGACCAAAAACTACCAGCTTTCGGTCAATGTATTAAGACGGAAACAAATCGCAACCTCGAAAAAACATTCAACACATATACTTTATCTAGATGTTACTACTTACTACCTTAGGTATGTGTGTGTGTGTGTGTGTTATATAAAATGTAAAGGTTGCTAAGAATGACCAAGGAATAATAATCCATTAGGTTGATTACTGAGATTTTATTGGATTTGAGATGATTTTTTCAATCAAAAAAATATAAGCAACTGAAATACTGAGTTGTCAATTTGCTTAGTCCTGTATGACACTTTTGAGATGCCAGCCATTTCATTAGCCGGATTGCAGACCGGGGAGACGGCGGCCATTCCATAATTCCGACAGGAATGGCACTGGAGCCTTTCACTCCATGCACACAAGAGCTCTTTTTTCTTCCCCCTTTTGGTTTTTTGAATTTTTCTTTTTTAAAAATTTTTATTCATAAGGTTAAAAAAAATTCCCTTTTCTTTCATGGGTCATCCATCGAATATCCAGGCCAGAACAAAAATTCCCTTTTCTTTCATGGGTCATCCATCGAATATCCAGGCCAGAACAAAAATTCCCTTTTCTTTTGGCTTTTAAAAAAATTTATCGAGAAAAATTAACCTTTAGAATGACACTCGAAAGTCTCAAAGTGTCAAAATTGCCAAGAAACCACTACAGTTGCCAAGTCCAGGTGCAAAATTGACATATGTCACGTAGCGTTCTATTACGAACGAAATTATTCATAAATTGGAAATAACACATGCAGCAAAAAAAACTCATTGTAATATCCAAGTCTAAAACCTCTGTAGTTTGGCAAATGGCAGATGTAACAATGTTTGAAGCAATCGAAACTCAGTTTTGTCCAAGTCGTCAAAATTACTCCGCATAATTGGGATATTTATGTTTTCATGGACTGTAACTTGGGACATAACGAACATTGAGATGGAAAATCAATGACTGAATTTTGGGTTCCAACACGATGTTATTGGTGTCGATTATCCACGGTCGGTGATCATCTAGTTTCTTACGCATTTTGCATCCTTCATTGTACCAAAAAAAAAAAAAAATCTTTCTCTTTTTCTTTTCTTGAAAAATAAATGTTCGCTCCTATCTTTCGCCGCCTTTTCTCAGCATTAGGTATTCCCTCCTGCATAGACTGTAGTTAGCATATCTGAAAACCATTTAGTTGGTTGGACTTGGATCTCATATTTGGTGCAGTTGTAGCAATTTTTGGAAGTAAGAGTGACACCCAAGAACTATCTCAGGAACTGCAATAATGCCTGTGATGAGTCTTTTGTTGTCCTCCTGAAAAACAGAGTGTTATCTTCTATGAAATGCCATTTCTTCAGTACTGTTTTAACTCTTCAATTCTTGGACCCTTTTTTCATAAGTTCCCCAATCATGGTATATCTCCCAGCATTGGTAAAACTTTAATAGATTGCAGAGGCAGTAAAGTGTATATATGATTATTCATTTTGGCATTTTGCATTTCATGTTGGTAGGATTTGCTACTTTCTTTTCCCAGACATTATAATGCCTGCAACAGCTTGTTTGTCTCTTTTCACAATATGCCAAAAATAGATTACATATGTATATATATATATATATATCCATACAATAGCACTATATTGGGATGCTTTGCCTTCGAGAGCATTGCTTATTTGGCTTCGGCTTCAAATTCCTTGGAACCAAAGAGCGCGGATGATCAAAATTGTTGTTGGTAGAATGATCGTGTCATTTGTAACCTTGTTTTGAACTGGATCACTCATTTTGGAACCAGATTCTGATGAATCCTTTTTGGAAGGGAAGACTTTCTTTACCCGAGATTAGAACAACCACCACCAACACGAAAGCAAGGATGAAAATAATCCCAAGCAGAATCCCCACAGCCATTCAGATTTTATTATACTCCTTGATGTTTCATCATTCCAAAACGCCGCGTGGCGAAGTTGGCTGCTCTCAGGACAAGGAGAACTACAAACACCACAAAGATCCTGGTTCCCTATGAAGCTTGAACTTGGGAATGTTTCAAACTGACCTCCAGTGGGGATAACCCCTGAGAGTTTATTGTATGCAACACTAAACATTGATAAAAAGTTTAGGTTTGTTAGAGAAGGTGGTATTGTTCCAGACAGGTTGTTATAAGACAAGTCCAACGTTTCCAGGTTCCTCATACTCGACAAATCGCTGGGAATAGCGCCGGATAAATTGTTGCATTTCAGATTCAAGAAGATTAAATACTTCAGATTTCCAAACTCCGGCCAAATGGGTCCGGTAAAGAAGTTGTTTCCAAGGTCTAATGAGGGTGGAAGGCTAGAAATTTGATTATACTGCAATCCCTTGGATGTGACACTCTTCTTGAAGTTTATGGGGAAATGAAGATATGGGTCATCTGGAAAATTCTTTCCATGAACAAGACTCTCTAATTGAGTAAGTTCTACTGGAATCTCCCCTGAGAAGGAATTATTGGACAAGGACAAGTAAAACAGAAACTTAAAACCACCAAACCATGATGGAATTTCCCCTTCAAGCCGATTCCACGACAAATCCAACACCTGCAACTTGTTTGAATTGCTTAACCACAGAGGAAGTGTTCCTATGAGTCTACAATTTGCAATGACAAGAGCTTTAAGCTCACTGAAACGCAGAGCAGAATCCGATGGAATTGGTTCATCCCAAAAATTCAAAGTAAGAACCAAACTGGTCAAGTTCCTACAATGCTGTAAAGTGGCCAGTGCAGATGACAAATTGTAAATGCTGGTGTTGGAAAGAGAAAGGTAAGAAAGAGACTGAAAATTCTTGAAGCTTTCTGGAATTTGTCCATCAAAATGGTTTTTGGCAAGATTTAATCTTTTCAAACGTTGACACTTGGGAAGATTCTCCGGGATGGACCCACGAAACTGATTACTACCCAAGTCAAGTGAAACAAGATTCAACATTGCAGTACAATCAAGATCTAATGTATCACCCAACGAATTGTTTCTCAAATCAAGAACAGTTAGAGTTGGGGAACTACCCAAAGACTCAGGTATGCTGCCAGTGAAGTTATTTGATTGAGCAGCAAAATTACTCAACATACTCAAACTATGGAAAACATTTGGCAACTTTCCTGAAAAGTTGTTCCTAGAAATGTCAAGTTGGACAAGACTGGAAAGGTTCCCAATGTTGTCACTGAGATTTCCGGAGAATTGGTTATCATTAATTTTGAAAACTCGAAGAGAAGGAAGGCTTATTATGATCACTGGAAACAGCCCGGTAAACTGATTATAACTCAAGTCTAAAACCTCTAATCTAGACAGATGTAACAACGTTGAAGGAATCGAACCTGTCAGGAAATTTCTGGAAAGGTTGAGTTCCCTGAGCTGATCCAAGTTGCCCAAAGACATTGGCAATTTCCCAACTAAACTTCTTCCTGTAACTTCAAATGTCACCACCCTACCTGAATCATCTTCAGAAGAATCATTCAATCCAAGTGACCAAGATGATTTGCATGTTATTCCAACCCAATTGCAGCAATTAGAAGCAGAGGAATTCACATCCCAATCAGCAATCCCGCTTGAATCCAAATCTAATAATTTCAACCCATTATAGAAATCCACTAGTACTTTCATATCTCTTTTATTGCATTTAAGATTCCTAGAAGTAAGTGAACAACTCGCCGTAGGTAATGAAAACAAGCCAATGAATAAAAGCCAAATCATAAACCATTTAGCTACGAAAACGCTCATCTCCGGGGAAGAGATATACAATTATAACAGTTCCCGCTTAGACTCAATCAGGATCACAAGACAATCAAGCTAGAAAAAAGAACACAAAACAAATTGGGTTGGAGAAGGAATAGAATATTCATTGTTGAGTGGTCGGGAAAAATGATGCAAATCGGGAGGTTGCAGAGAAAGGACGAGATTATGAAGATGAAAAATGGGTCAGTCAACGGTAAACGTTTGAGCTGATGATCAAATTTTAGTTTTACAGAGATTTTAAACCCAAAAAAAAAGGGGTGAACTACAATTTACCCCCTGAGTTTTGATCCTTTAACAAAATAAACCTCGAGTTTTAGTGATACTATAATTTCCCCCTTTGACCTTCGGTCAACCTACCGATTACATCCTGGTCACCGGAAAAACATTGCAACATGATGACATCATAAAAAATTTTGCTTAAAGAGACAACGTTACCCTCTGTCCCTACCACTGTCGGCCGCACTCGTCCCCGATACCACCATAACCCACCTAGAGTCTGTTGTCCCCAAAATAACACGAAGAACCAGGTTAGCTATATTTATCAATTCCAACCTCTCAAATCCAGTCAAAGATCATTGCTATCGTCGAGTTTGGAGATCCGATGGAAGATGCAAGGATCTCTAATCAATGCAAGAGGAGAAGCCAGATCTGAGGTTGCTATCTTCGCCGCTTTCAGAGAAGTGTTCTCCAATCGACGCAATCAAACGAGATCCAATCAAAGATACAAGAATTGAAGCCAGATCCGAGGTATGTAATTTTAGGAAGTTACTCCCACTAATTATACTCACCCACTCTCAAATAAAATTGACGGGGAAGAGAAACAAATTGGCTAAGATGAAACACTCACCTACTAGTAATTAAAATTGACGGGGGAAGAGATTGAAAATCAAATTTTGTGTTTAAGTTTTAGTTAGGAATAAACTTCAATTACTAAACTTTGAAATTCAAAGAATCTCACTCCCACAAAATTTTGATTTTCGCCTTTTTATTTCTCACGGATAGCTTCCCAAAACCATCAAATATTTCAGGTGATGCGATGGAAAATATGTCGGAAGTCGCCTGGGGTTTTTTGTCATTTCAAAGTTTTTCAGCATCGATCAAACCTTTAACCCTGTCAAAGGGGAAATCATAGTATTACTAAAATTCGAGGTTGATATTGTTAAAGGACCAAAACTCGGGGGACAAATGTAGTCGCCCCAAAAAAAAAAAAAAAAAAAAAAGAAAAACGTGGACTTTAATTTGCATTTTATCATCCCACTTGGTCGTCCATGAATTGACTCCCAAACAGATAAATTGACTTTGGTGCTTTCAACTAATCTCAGTAGTCGGATATGCCTAGTACAGGGGTTAGGATCATTAAACGGCCATTTGATAATCAGATGTGTGATTTTGAATATTAACTTTTGTATTGTAAAGGAGGTAAGATTTTGAGATTTATTTCATACATTGTAATTTGTTTGGGTCATTGAAATTGAAGGTGGATGCGAATAATCAAAGTGTATACAATTATCCAGAGCTATCAATATACTTTGGGTTTTTTTATGGTTAATTAATTCAGTGTATCAAAGAGTTGCCTAGAGAGTGATTATTGGTAAAATAAAGGGAATCAAATTTTACGTCAAATTTTAAAAATGTAATCACGGCCAGCATTATTTTTATAGGTGTTTAGAGTTATAATCGCAGGGTAAAACAATTATAAATAGACAAGATATATAATATTACTCGTGAATATTTTGATAGTGTTTGAATTATTATTTTGACAAATTTGAATTCGAGTAAGATAGATTCAATTAATAATTTAGAAGAAAGACAATTAAAATTAGGTACCCAAGTTAACTAGTCAACTCGTGAAACGCCAAATTTGCACTTTGATGATTTAACAAAGTGTCCTAATTACTACTACCAAATATGAAGGAAACAAAACAATTCGAAAATGTGAAAGTTCAGAATATTTCTAATTCCTTTCTTTCTTTTTCCTTTTCTTTCTTTCTTTTTTTTTTTTGAAGTTTACACTTGGGAGAAGAAGTGAGGAGAACATCCTTTTCTCTATCTGATGATTCCAAATCTAATGAATGCATTTGGAGTGAGACAAAGCACTCGAGCAGTGCACCCGGTACCACTTTGTCTAATTAAAAAAAAAAAATCCGTATTTCAGTATTTTTTTTTTTTTTAAATGAGTTATCTAATACATACTGCATTACTCATTTTAGTATCTGAAAGTTAACCAAAAAAAAAATCTGAAAAATATTACTTCCTCCGTCCCATAATTATTGTTCAGTTTTAGTTTTCATTTTTAATTCAAATTATACTAAAAGTGAAATCTTAAACATCTTAAACTGAACAAAGGGAGTACTTTGATTAATTCAATTTTAAGCCAAATAAATTATTTTCAGAAAGCAAAAATCTTCCAAAATAAAATATTTTCGTCACTGTTTCAAGTATATATTCCAGCAGTTTGAACCAAGATAGGTCCTTTTTGAGTTTTGACATGCCAGATTGCCAAGCTCACCCACCCCCATAATAATTTGGGTTGTACCACTCGCCCAGAGCACCAGTCAACTTTGCAAAGATCTCTCTTTTATTCATATTTTAATCAATGCATACATTTTAGTATTAGTTTATTTTCAAACATGTTTTTGCATTTGATTTTTGCCAGTTTGAATTTTGTCTCCCACTCATCAGTCCAAGAGTGAGTGAGTGTGCGACTGTGTGTGTGTGTGGCAGCAAACTGCATAATGCATTTTTGGCCCCTCTCTCTTTTTTGGAACTCCCCATAATGCTAGATGAAGAGAGCATTGGACAATAAACGGCTATTTCAAAATTTGTGCACAACTTTCCATGCTACATACACTACCCTGTCAAAGTGAAGTCTTTCTCCTTCTCACTCAACCAAAATTAAGAACAACAAGACAGAAAATAAGAAAGGAAAAGGGCTATAGCCAAAAAAGAGTTTCTTTTTTCTTTCCCTACATGCTTCTGCTGATTAATTATTACTGATTTTTCATTTTAAAGCAACTATAATGATCACAGTGGTACCGTTTTGAATAAGCCCCCCTACTCTCTGTTAATTTTCATCATTATAGGTCCAATCTCTTGAATTTCTTTTCGTGGTTGGTGAACTCAAACAAAAAGGGTAAAACCCACTAAAGGTTCCATTAATATAACTGGGAAGGTTTGCTGCTGGTTCAGCTTCAAATTTGAAACACTCGGATTTGAATTCAAGAAATGGTGGTGAAAATGTTGGTTTTGGTGATATCAGCTGTATTTGCAGCGGCCCTTTTGAGCAGGACAGCTTTGGGTCTTAATGCAGATGGTATTTTTTCATATCTTTTTTTTTTTTTTCCAGTTTTAAGCTCAATGCCTGAGATTCCAGCTATGTTTTGTTGGCTTCATTCTGGCATTTTGTGGGTTTTCCACCTTTGACTGGGGTTTTAAAGTCGATTTTAGCTGAAAAGATTGAACCTTGAAGTTCCAATTGGTTGTTTGGATCTCATATTTGGCGCAGGTGTTGCCTTGTTGGAATTCAAAACCTCAGTGAATGACACCAAGAACTATCTCAGTAACTGGAATGCCTCTGATGAGTTTCCCTGCGGATGGACTGGGATCTCTTGTCATCCTGAAGACCAGACTGTTATTTCCATGTATGCCATTTGTTTTTCACTGTTTTATTTCTTCAGTTTCTTTGGTCTCTTTTTCTAAAGTTCCTCGTTTCTGGTAATATGCTAAATTTCCTTGTACTTGTATTCTGTCTGCATTTTCAGAAATTTGCCTTACATGCAACTTGGAGGGATTATATCTCCCAGCATTGGTAAACTCAGTAGATTGCAGAGGCTGTAAGTACCAACATTGTATAGACCTCTTATGTTCTTGTACTGCTGTCTCTGCTGACTTGTTAACTCGGCCTATTTTGAATTGTGTAGGGCACTTCACATGAATAGTCTACATGGCATCATTCCAAATGAGATAGCTAATTGTTCCGATCTCAGAGCCCTGTGAGTCAAATTTACTTCCTCTTTCAAATGCTATGATATTTTCTTATATGCTTCCCAGTTTACATGTATGCAGTATGAGTCAATTGTCATTGCATGTGTTAAGGTACTTGAGGTCAAACTACCTTCAAGGAGGGATACCTGCAAACTTTGGGAATCTTTCTCTTCTGACCATATTGTAAGACAATACATTTCCTTCAGTTCAGATTCTCGTTGATAATTTTTTTTATTATCCTGATGTGCAATTTACGTTGGGCAAATGGATATTTAGGGATTTATCAAGTAATTCACTCAAGGGGGCAATACCTTCTTCCCTTGGTCGCCTATCTCGTCTGCGCTCTCTGTAAGTTTGAAATGTCTCTTTGGCTCAAATATAGTTGAGAATGATTAAACATCTTCCATCATGTAATCTCGTACCTGTTGCAAATCCAGAAACTTGTCAACAAATTTTTTCTCTGGTGAAATTCCGGATGTTGGAGTTCTTAGCACCTTTGGGAATGCATCGTAAGTTTCTTTCTCATTCTTATCATTTAGCTTTGTATGCATAAACTTTAGATTTTGAAGCTTTTGCTTTAAGGTTAGATGGCTATGATTTTGTAACTAATCAGCTTACTTTGCACTATTGTTCTAGAAATCAAATTAAGGTAGTAAAGTAAACTTGGAAACATTTTGATGATTACATTACATTACTATTGTGATTAGATGATGGTAGCTGAAACAAGTTTAATATGAAAGCTTGTGATCTATAAAGTTCCTTTTTCGATCATGGACATGATATGTATTCTTACAGTAGTATCAATAGAAATTCATTTGGACAGTCATAAAATGTTGGAAACAGAGTGCTGGCCCTAATTATGCTAATTACAGTGTAAACGTTAGAAATGGAGGGATGGCTCCTGATCACTTTACATAAGCATTATAAAATTCTTTTTTTGAACATGGACTTGATATATATTCTTATAGTAGAACTAACATTAGTTTATTTGGATTGTCATAAAATGTTATGAATGGAGTGCTGGCCAATTACTAAGGAATGTAGCGGCAGCAACTAGACGAAGCCAAATTCTACTCTTTGGAAAGAAGTGGTGCTTTTAGATTACCCATTTATGTCCAAAACAATGTTCATAGTTAGTTTTTCAGTGTTTCTTTTAGAAGTGGGTATCACAGTTCGGTAATTGTTGCTTGTTTGAGCTTTAGTGGAATCCTTTTTAAGAGTCTGAGCTTTTCGATGAATTTCCTCCTTGTTATTGGATATTCTCAGCTTTCTGTTAAATGAGAAGCTTAAGCAATATGGTTTTCATTTGTTGGAATTAAATGAAGACTTTCTACGAAAGAGCAAGTGTTAGATGGTATAACAGTAAATTGATGTAAATGACACGAGCTAGACAATTCCAAGACTTGAGTTCTAACTTACGTGTGTTGTTCTTAGTCAAAGTTGACATACATCATATTCTGCGTCCATAGCTGTCAATCTGTCATAGATATCTGCATCAGAGATGCCTCCAACTCAGGTGCAGAAGAAAAATAGCTCATTAACAATGGGCATTGCGTGGTGGCAATTTGGATGAAACTTTGTTATCTGTCCATTAAATCAAACTAAGTTGACAGGTTAACTGATGATGTTATGATAAAAGTAGTTATCAGTAAATCAGACAAGTGAAAAATAATGATTGAATTTTGAAGAAATATATATCGAACAGACATTCAAGTTGCTGTTTAGATGTAGAAAAGTGGACTTTTGTACAAAACTTTGATTTCTGGAAATTATTATACTTTCGCAATTCGCTAAAAAAAAAAAAGAAATAGAAGCAAATATCCAAGTGAAACCTTCTTGTACTTAGATTTGTTAAGTTGATGTTTTCAGTAGCATTGTTTCCGATTGGTTGTGCTGAACCTGAAGGCCATTCTGATTGGTTCATGTTTATTTGAAGGTTCCTTGGAAATTTAGATCTTTGTGGCCAACAAGTACAGAAGCCTTGTCGAACCTCACTGGGATTCCCAGCTGTACTACCTCATGCAGAGAGCAATGAAGCCAAAGGTAATTATTCACAGTATAAGCTCTGTTTATCTTAGTTGTTCAAGAAAGTTTTTAAGGGCATCATTATTACCATCTCGTGCTGATCCTTGAGGCATAATTGTGGTGTGTCCTTGTAGTGCCTACGAAACGATCCTCACACTATCTTAAAGGAGTAATTATTGGCGCTATGTCCACAATGGCCTTTGTTCTAGTTGTGCTCCTTGCTTTCTTATGGGTATGTTTATTGTCGAAGAAAGAAAGGGCTGCCAAGAGATACACAGAAGTCAAAAAACAAGTTCATCAAGAGCCAAGTAACCGTTAATTGCCTTATTTTTCACTGCCAGTTGTATTGCTTTATTATTTTTAAAGTTCTTACTTTGCTCTTTTCTTCTTGCAAAAGGTGCCAAATTAATCACTTTCCATGGCGACCTTCCATATCCTTCGTGTGAGCTAATAGAGAAGATTGAATCTCTTGATGAGGAAGATGTTGTAGGAGCAGGGGGATATGGCACTGTTTATCGAATGGTCATGAATGATTGTGGTACATTTGCAGTTAAAAGGATTGATCGTAGTCGTGAAGGTTCTGACCAAGTGTTTGAGAGGGAGTTGGAAATACTGGGTAGCATCAAGCACATTAACCTGGTCAATCTGAGAGGTTATTGCAGGCTTCCAGCTGCAAGGCTCCTCATCTATGATTACTTGGCTATGGGCAGTTTGGATGATTTTTTACATGGTATGTTGGTTATTTTGGACACTTGATGCTCTTTTTTCCGTCTTAATATTGCACAAGAAAGACTACTTTATAGTTACTGACAGGAATATGCTATCTCTTGGTTTGAAACTGTAAAAATATGATATGCATGTTTATCAGTGTCATTCTGGATTCATTTCTTTAGAGCTCATAGAAATCTATATCTCATTTGCTTCTTGGCATGCTGTTTTTAAATCTAGAATTCAGGTTTCAGAATGGAAAAGGTTAATCCCAGTGCTTTTGATCATGTTCATTATTAACTTACTAAAAGATTTTGCTGCAAATGTTTTTTCTTAAATAATATCAACATGCCACTGGTGTGTGTATCCTTTTGTCATTCATTGTGGTTTAAACCAAATGCTCATCAACATTTTATTATGATATGAACGGTCAAAGGCTTCCAGATTTATTGCATCTGTAATTATATTCTGGTAACTCCTTAAGTTGTTCGTGAAATGAGGAGAGATCCTTAAATCCCCTGTAAGATGAGCACACATGAAAACCTCAAGAGAATTGGAAAGGAATAAGTGAAAAATGACTTGATCCAGAATTCGAGTGAATTTGTGTATTGATTGAGCTTGTTTATGACATGATCTATAGTTTCAAAAGGTTAGTTGTAATTCTTGTAAAATGCTCTCGGTTCATGCTTACCTTAAAGCTTTTGGCATGTTTAGGGTATTCATCATGTCTAATCTACATCCAAGGTAAGAATCTTTTTTATGTGAAGCTGACTGAAAATTCTCCTTCCTTTGGGATACTTTGGTATTATTGTGATCGATAAATTTGAAAGTACCTTGGCATTAGTCACGTAGTAAAGCATACATTTATCATTGATGACTACCTTGCATATGTGCTTCACTGTCTAACGAAAGCTGGAATGATTGTCTTAGTTGGAGTGCTAATTTCTGTAGTTTTCTTCAGAACATGGCGATGCAGATCGGTTGTTGAAGTGGAATACTCGGTTGAGGATAGCTCTTGGTTCGGCTAGGGGATTAGCCTACCTGCACCATGATTGTTCACCAAAGATAATTCACCGTGACATAAAATCCAGCAATATACTTCTGGATGAGAATATGGAGCCTCATGTTTCTGACTTCGGGCTTGCAAAGCTTTTGGTAGATGAGGATGCTCATGTCACAACCGTTGTTGCTGGTACATTCGGCTACTTAGCTCCAGGCAAGTCTTTATCTAAGCTACTTATACAGAACAAATTTTAGCTCATTCAGTATAGGATTGAACTTAGATACACAATCTGCACTTTTTTTTTTCACCAATCTGCATTTTTATACAATGGATCCACCTGAAAATAATTTGACATAAAAAAAATACATATTTGTTAGAGGTAATTGCAAAAGGAACTACCTGGACTTATATCTTGCCCATTGTATCATCCATTGCGTATGACTTATGAGTCTACCTGTGATTATCCGTGCTGATCACGTGATGTCTTTGAAGATTTAGATCCATCTTTGATTAGCAAATGGCTTATTCATGTAGTTCCAAAAGATAGTACATGTACATCATCCTTGCTTCATTCGTATCATGGTGTTTAAAAAAAAAACAGGAATCACTTTACCATATTATCAATTCATACCGAAATTCATTTGCTTACTGACGGAAGATTAAAATTGAAATGGTGGTAAGGCACCTTGGTGCAGATTTTATCTAGATTAAAACTGCATACCCTATTTCAATTCATTGTATGGTGCCTTAAAAGAGAAAGAAATAACACCTTTTGCTGTTCTCAGTGCAAATCGTGTGCCTAAAAAGGAATGCTAATGTTTTTGTTGAAAGAGAGAAATACTTGTAAATATCAGCATAACAGAATAAGGCAAATAGTTTATGGAAACCTCATCTTTTAGTTTTGTTTTGTTTAGCCAGGTCTTCTCTTGTTGTTTGCATCTGGTGTTCTGTAGAACTTCTCTGTCATTGTATTTACTGCGAGTCTGAGTACACAGAAGCAACTCAAAAGATTTTTAAAAAAAGAACCTGAAGCCTAGTTTCGTTAGATACATGCTTTATAAATAACGAAGGATCTTGAAGAGGAGGCATCTTGTCTGTCAAGGTCTTCACTAGGGTTACGAATATTATCACAGCCCAGAGGCTTTTGTGAAGACTGCCTACAACTGTTTAAAGTTTGTTTAATCTTTTTCCTCGAGAGTATATGATTAATATGTCAAAAAGATTTGATACTAACACTTCATGGTGTCAGAATCATTACAATGAACTTTTTCAAGTACCCCTGGATACTAACACTTCATTTGGGCTTTGTTTCGGTTTTCTTGATGAAACAGAGTACTTGCAGAGTGGAAGGGCCACAGAAAAATCCGATGTTTATAGCTTCGGAGTTCTGCTATTAGAGCTTGTGACAGGAAAAAGGCCAACTGATCCATCTTTTGTTAAGCGCGGCCTCAATGTGGTTGGCTGGGTATGTTTCTAAGCTTACTGTCATTGTAATGTGCCACGCTTGAAAATTTTAGGCAGAGTATTAGTCTGTATCCCATCTATATATTCACAGCAGCTTTAGTAACTTAATGAAATTCCACAGATGAATACATTGTTAAGAGAAAATCGGATTGAAGATGTAGTGGACCGAAGGTGCACTGATATAGATGGTGAGACTGTTGAAGCAGTTCTAGAAATCGCAGCAAGATGTACTGATGCAATTCCAGACGACAGGCCATCAATGCAAGAAGTGCTGCAGTTTCTGGAGCAAGAAGTTATGTCACCTTGTCCTAGCGACTTCTATGAATCTCAGTCAGATTATTCTTAAGTAACAATATGGCAGCATTGTGCTGCCTAGGATTTTGAAAAATCTGTTCATACTGTAGGCAAACACTAATTTTGTTGAAACTATGTTTTGGTGCAATTCATGTTGCACCATTTTCTGTATAATATTGTTTCTGAGTATCTGAGCTAGTGGCAAGTTCTTTTGTTATTTCTATGGACACTAGGATAAGTAATCCTACACGATGAAACCATCTAGCCTCGGCCCTCATAGTGCGTGATTGACAGACAACGGTGCCGTATGATTTGCTACAGATTACAGGAGTATGTGTAGCGCTCATGTTATTTGCAGTTTCTGTTAAAGTGACTAAAACTGTTGGAAAAAAGAGATATTTGGGGATTAATTTTGTTATTTGAAAATACATTGCGGATCCCAGTTCAGTAAAAAAAATTAATAAAAAATAAAAAACTTAATGGAAAAAAGAGTTGACCGTTAAATTGACTAAAACTATTTAATAAACGAAAAGGTGATGACTAATTTTATCAGTAATAAATTAATAGTGACCAAAAGTTGTGACCCATAATTCAGGATCAAAATTGCCTGTTGTGCAGAATATATCATTATTAACTATTAAATTTACACTATGTATTTATGTACCTCAGTAAACAGAAAAAGAAAATAAAGAACTTCCATTAAGAAAGGGTTTGGAGTCCATGAGAGACAATGTTTCAAAGTTAGCCTTTCATTCAGTTCTTAACTGACCATATTCAAAAAACATTTTTGAGCAAACTATTAGTTCTTTTTGTAAAGTGTTAAAACAGTGTTAAACTAGCATAAATTCAGTGAAGAGAAGAGGAGTATAAGGTATAGAGAAGAGGCCATAAATTAACTTCATGCACAATTACACATTAACAGTGATAAAATCATATGTACATATTTCAAAAACTGGTGGACAGTTTGATGAAAATTTTCCATTACTGAGCAAAAAGTATAAGGTGTAGAGCTGAGACCATTAATTCAATAACAGCGATAAAATCATATAATAATCTAAAGTTTGTTTTAGTTTAAGTTGTTGGATGGACTCAGGGACGGAACTAACTTCCGAACTTAGCAGGTGTTCCACTAAAGTTTAGTGGAGGTCACAACATGTTAGGCGAACAATTTTACTTGATAATTTTGAAGAATATTATATACATGATATATACTCTTTCTGTTTCAAAATTATTGTTTAGTTTGAATTTTTAATTTTAAATAATTTAAATTAAAAATAAAAATCCAAAGTACAGAGATAATATTTATTTGTATTATACTTTTTAATAATTTAAATTTCCAATATATCTACAATTTAACAACATACCTAATTTTTTTATAAATATCAAATTCCATCATCAAGTTTTTCCTTTTCAATCATATACAAACTACAGTTTTTGCAAAGAAATTAGGTGTCTTGATACAAAAAAAAAAAAAAAGTGACTAAATTCAAGACATATTAAAATATTGATACAAAAAAATAATCATATTAAAAACTACAAGATAAATAGATACACAAGTTAAGGATAGATAATTAATTTAAGATTTCATCATTGAATACTTAGATAACCGGAAGGAGTAATGTAGTGCGTGGGAATTAGGATTTAACTGAAAGATAAAGGATGATTTTATGTAATAAAAAAAATTGGATTTATAAAGAATCTTAGAGGGATGGGAAGCTCGACTAATTGTCATGATCTGGGGTAATTTTGGAAATTATCAGAAGTTTGGGATTTGTTTGTAATGGCATTAAATGTAATTCAGACCAACATTAGGGTTTCTTTTCGCATTTATTGTTAATGATTGGCTGATTAGATTTGGTTTCCAGATTTGGCTAATTACTATAATTAGCTGAATAGTAATTGTAATAATCATTGCGTAATAATAAAGCAGATTCTTCTAGAATCTTTCTTTCTCATCCCTTACTCGGATTTGTCTTCTCATCCTCGTTCTTGCATATTCATTTTCCGCTTATCTCTCTCCGTCCTCCGTTTATCAGAAATTCTACTTTTGGCCATCAATACGTGACAAGCTGGTATCAGAGCCGGAATTTTCCTCGGCTTTGGGAATAGTACGACGATGGCACAGACACGATCACAAAAGGATCTTGAAGATCAGATTCGCCGTCAAGATATGAGACTTACAGATGTCACGGGCTTACTTTTTCAAAGTAACGGCCGTGCGGCACTAGCACAAACCAACTAACGATCAAGTGCTAGCTCAGCCTTAAGACCCCCAAAAAGTGCAAAGCTAGGCAAGACTTTAAAGAACGGAGGCAAAGAAAAACTTAAGAAAGGTTGAAAGTGAAAGAATGATGAAGGCACAAGAGAGCTTAAGGAATGCTTGAGAACTCTACTCAAAGCTTGGATGGGTTACAAATGAAGGGTATTTATAGGCAAACCCCAAGTCCTAAAGAATTCTAGAGAATTCTATGTACATAATAAAATAATGGAATTCTAGAGAATTCCTACAATAAAATAATCTAAGTTCAAAATATCTACAAGTCTCTAGAATCTTCCACACGGTTCTAGCAAACTCGGGTAGCTTCCACACGGTTCCACCCGTTTCTAGAGAGTTCCGGGCCACTCTAGAAAATTCCAGAATCTTCAAGATTTGACCGGAGAATTCCACAAGGCTCTAGACCATTCCGTCCCATGTCCGTCTACGAAAATAGCTTGTTTTGCAGCAAACCACCCGAATTCGTGGGGAAGAAAAATGTCCGTGACATTCTCCCCCACCAAAACGGTGCATCGCCCCGATGCACCTAAGTCTCGAAGGCAATGTTGATAGGAACGGGTGCACGATTCTCCTCAAAGTCCTCGATCAATTTGGTGAATTGCCAAAGCTTCTCGATTGGCTCCCAACTCGTCTCACTCATTGGCAAATTCTTCCATTTCACCAAGTATTCTTTAGTTGCTGCCCCGCTCTTGCCCCGAACGATGCTCTTAGAAAGGATCTCCTCTGCGGTCTGTTCCTCTTGCTCGCGTACGCCAGCTGGTGCCCTTGAGGAAACGTTCCGTTCTTCGTCCTCTGGTTCCTTGCGGTATGGCTTAAGTAAGCTCACATGAAAGACTGGATGAAGCCTTGAAAAGGCCTCGGGTAGCTCCAGCTTGTAAGCATCCGAACCCACTTTCTTCAGAACGGTGAAAGGACCCTCGTATCTGCGCATGAGACCCTTGTGTAGACCACGGCTCCGTCCATGCTCATAAAGCTTCACCAAGACTTGGTCGCCTTCTTCAAACTCGCGACGGGTCCGTTTCTTATCCGCCCATTTCTTCATGCGTGCGGCCGACTTCTCCAAGTAGAGTTTTGCCTCGTCGGCCCGTTCTTGCCAATCTTTGGCAAACTTGTATGCGGGTGGGCTATTGCCCTTATAGCCCCCAAGAATGTCCTTAGGCGTAGTTGGTTGGAAACCAAGGACAATCTCAAACGGACTTTTGCCCGTGCTCTCACTCCGCATCAAGTTATAGGAAAATTGGGCAACGTCTAGCAAACGTACCCAATCTTTCTGGTTGGCTGCCACATAGTGCCTGAGGTACACCTCAAGGAGGCCGTTGATGCGCTCCGTCTGCCCATCTGTTTGCGGGTGCAAAGATGTAGACATCTTGAGCTCCGTCCCAAGCAAACGAAAGAGTTCTTGCCAAAAACGGCCGATGAACCTCGAGTCCCTGTCGCTTATGATCGATGTAGGCAGCCCCCAATACTTCACCACATGCCTAAGAAAGAGTTTGGCCGTTATCTCCGCGGTGCACTCTTTTGGGGCGAGTATGAAGACCCCATACTTAGACAAACGGTCTACCACAACAAGTATGTTGGTGCAACCCTCAGAAACGGGCAGGCTCACGATGAAATCCATCGAAACGCTGTCCCACGGGCGTTCCGGAATAGGCAAGGGTGATAACAAGCCATGCAGGTGGTCTTGCTCGGTCTTGTCTTGTTGGCAAACTAGACAAGTCCTTACATACGTCTCCACATCTTCCCGCATGCGAGGCCAATAGAACCGTTCATGGACTAAGGCAAGTGTGCGATGCGTACCTGGGTGACCCGCATAACGGCTATCATGGCAATCCCTTAGAATCTCCCTTCTAAGTCCATCCCATGCGGGCACATACAAACGGTTCCCCTTGGCATAAAGTATCCCATCCTCAAGCCAGAACCGTGTTGTCTTGCCTTCCTTCACGAGCTCCATGAACCTTTGGGCTTGACGGTCGTGCTCAAGACCCTTCTTGATGCGATCAACCAGCGTCCCCTCGGGTATGCTAACGATTGGAGCAAGACACGCCTTTTGGCTTAGGGCGTCGGCCACGTGGTTAGTCTTCCCCGGGCTATACTCAAGCTCGTATTTAAACTCGGCCAAGAAGTCCAACCAACGTGCTTGCTTGCTTGAAAGCTTAGGTTGGCTTTGATGGTAGCTCACTGCCCGATTGTCCGTCTTGATCTTGAATGGTGTGGCGGCCTTTAGGTAGTGCTCCCAAACTCGAAGGCAGTGAACTATAGCCAACATCTCCTTCTCGTGCGTCGGCCACCTTTTCTCGGTCTCGTTCAACTTGCGACTTTCAAAGGCGATCGGGTGACCATCTTGCATAAGAACGCCCACAATGGCGAAGTCCGAAGCATCCGTGCACACCTCGAACGGTTTCTCAAAATCAGGGAGAGCTAGGACTGGCTCTCGAGTGACGGCGTCCTTTAAAGCCTCGAACGCTGTTTGGTGTTTTGGTGTCCAACACCAAGCTTGCCCCTTTTTCAAGAGATTCGTTAATGGAGCGGCTATGGCGGAGTGCCTTCAATAAACCGCCGATAGTAATTAACAAGCCCCAAGAACGATCTCAGCTCCGTTGGCTTCGTGGGTGCCTCCCATTCCACGATAGCTTTGATTTTGGCCGGATCCATGCGGATTTTGCCCCCACCAATGATGTGTCCCAAGAACGACACCTCCTCAAGGCCGAAGGAACACTTCTCCCTTTTAACATAGAGCTGGTTTTCCCTAAGGACTTGAAAAACGGCTCTAAGATGCT